AAAAGTAAGTATTGTTATCAAAAGTAAGTTGTTATCAAAAGTATTAGTAAAAGTAAGTAAATAATACTGATTTCGAATGAATTTCTTATGTAATAAATAATTTCACAATTTTGCAATCACTTTTACTGCTACCATTTTTACATCAATTTTCAGCATTGTTCTCGAATTTATCATGATACGATCTATTAATTTCAAATTTCATACCGAAATTATTTTGACCATATTTGGAGTACTTTGTACAGTACTTTTATCTATTAATTGGGTATTAATTATTTTTGTAAAATATGATATAGATAGTCTCTATGAATTCGTATTCAATGAAATGGAATATTTTAAGGTTATCTTTTACTTGATAAAATTTACCGATAAATGCCAGAAGCCAGAGATTCTATTTGTTTCTTCACAAAAACGGATATGTTAATACCATTAATTAGTAATAAACTTAATTCCAAATAATTTCTTTCATTTATTCCGCACTTTTTTTTACCTATTAAGCATCTTATCCTTAGCTATATGATCTGATGTGTTATATCATATCATATCATATCATTGCTATTTAAGCAAGAAATAAGAGCCACCTTTTCAGGCAATAACAATTTGATTAGAAATTAAAATTTTGACACATATATTTACTTTTTATAGTACGATGTAAATGGTACCTGGGATGACATAATGAATTTACAAAGTAAAGCACATTTTAATAGAATGAGAAGATCAGATTATTTCAAAGATGAACGATGCAGTATGTTTTCTCATAACTCATTATCATTAAGCAAAATTCCAGTACTTTAATTAAGATTTGAATTATTAGAACTTATCCATCAGAAGAGTTTTAAAGTTATTAAAACTTATCCACTGGAAAGGTTTTAATTTGAATTAGCGCTAAAAGAAATAGCGTCATCAAAAGATGGATGGAAAAATAAGCGGTTGGAATTTGTGACATTTAAATTTTCGAGAATTATTTGATCTAGATGAACGATATCCTAAGAAGGCTTATTATCCAATGACATCACATGATCATATTTTATTGGTTTTATTTGATGTAAAAGATGATTTATTTTAAAGATGATTGATATTTATTTTGTCATTTCTATATGAAATGAATTTTTATTAATTAAATAAAATTCTTGTAGATTGTGCTAAACAAATGATTCAATGTCCAGAAGGACCAAGAGGACCATCTGGTCAACCAGGTGTTAATGGAGGTAGAGTTTTTTGACAAAAAGTACAAGCATAGCAGTGAATGATTCATTGTCAATTGAGGATGAGAATAAACTTCCAAAATAGACTCTTTTTTCCTCCTTTCGACTGATCAAATCTATATTTAAATGAATATTGAGTTTTAACATTTGATATTATTCCAGAAAACGATGAAGATGGTTTAGATGGTAAGCCAGGAATACCAGGATTTCTCCTCGGTGATACCAGTGATGAAGAAAATTGTGTATTATGTCCTCCTGGACCACTGGATCTACCAGGAAACAGTGGCGTGCCAGGTTTACGTGGTCCTGCTGGATTGCCAGGAGCTCCTGGAAGGAATGGGCGAGCTGGTCCTCCTGGTTTACCCGGTCCAATGGGAGAAAGCGGAGCTCCTGGTATGCTTTAGAATGTTTTCGTAATTTTATAGTAAATTTTGTGTCTGCATAAAAATCCTAAAAACCTAAAAACTTTTCAGGACCTACTGGAAAACCTGGATTACCAGGTCCATCAGGAAAAAATCGCACTGTATCAAGGTATTTGAAACCTGAATTATTTGGGCACCGAAAAAAATAGGTCCTTCGGATGAGCTCGTCATATTAGGTGAAAAAAGTGAATCAATACAGCAAAATTCAGTAAAAGTAATGAGTAAAGAAGAGATTGGAGATGAATTCGAGAAATCTGGTCAGGTAAGCAAAAATTCCTATGCGATTTCTAATAGCTGCAAATTAATTTTGCATACCTAAGAATTCGAACTTTGGAGCTAAAGGGAAATTGCTAAAAGTTCCAAATTTCCGTTCTTCATCAAAAATTCTGTAATTAAAAGGAATATTCTGAATTCTCATCAGATATACTATTATATTATCAATTGTAGCCTGAAATGGACGGAAATGTTAATATTAGTACCACCATATATTGTCCATGCTCTTCTCGTCCTCCGCTTCATCCAACATCACAATCTGCATCATTGAATCCGGAAACGCAAAAGTCCGAAAAACCCGTAAAAGTCACCGTAAACCCGCTTACAAAACAAGGACAAAGATATAAAGCTGAAACTGATAACAAAGAAGAGGATGAAGCAGCACAGCTTATCACTGAAAGACAACTGAAACGTCTATCGGAATGGATTAAGCGATGGAGGATAGTATCAGATTAGTCCTATGATAAGTAGAAACTGTAACATCGTTCTATTGCTACAGTTCACATTTAGTATTTCTCCTTTTTGCTTTGATACGATAAAACATTTTGTTATCGTATCATGTCATTGTAGAATCTTATCGTATCATTTCATTGCAAGTAAAGTAAGTCTTCATTGGATTGTAATACAGCAAGAAAGAGATTTTATTATAAGCCTAGTAATCTTTGGCCATAGTTTTAGAGAATTAAAGTTGCATAATAAATTATTGTGTATCCATGATATTTTGATATGGAAGTATGCTCTTAATCTCTGATACTGATGTTGGTTAGAGGCTAATCAAAGATTTGATAAGGTTGATATAAAATTTCTTTTTTTTTTTTTTACAAATAACAAAAACAATGGAACTTTTACTACCGATATTTTCAAGAAAAAAAGAAAACAAATATTTTGGTATCGAATTAAGCAAATGATAAAATGATAAAATGACAGAATAAGTGATAAAAAGTGAAATGGCTTAAATTAAAAATTGGAAATGAATTAAAACAAAAAATGTAAAAGATTATGATAGAATGATCATAGTGAATGAAAATTTTGATCCATTCGTTTGTTTGTCAATTTAAAACGATGAAATATTGATGGAAATGTTAGTCTTACTGTTTTTTCAACATTCAATAAATGCAAAAAATATTTTGAAACTAAAATAATTTAAACTATTTGGGTACAATTTGGTGCAAAAAATATAAAAAAAAAAGGAAAAGAAAACAGAAA